TGGTATTTTGGCCACCGACCTCACCCCCCCAAAAAAAAAATTGGTCACTCTCTTCACACCTGTTTGTGGGACATTGTTGTGTGAAAATTGGTTTCTGTGTTTGTCTGCAAAAGACACAGTTATTAGGTTTAGTGAAGAGCTTTCAGAAGTTATGGGTGCTATAATCTCATGCAGGAAAGATAATTGCTATGTTTAACTGCAAACACAGCATGCATTTAATGTTAAATGCAGAGGGTAGGTGGGCAGGAGTTTGTCATCTGAGTAAGATATTTTGCTTTACACTGTGTAGTGTTTTATTGCCACAAAGCACATCCCACAAGCCACCAAAGTCCGACCAGATAAAATACCTAGAAAGGGAGTAAGGTAAAAAGGTCCAATAAAAAAAATTACGTGTCCAAAATTCCACCGTGTTTTATAAGGGTTCGATTATCTTGTAAGGACCTGGGTTCAATTCCCAGGCAGGGCAAAACCTTAGGCAAGTTACCTTACCTCTCTTTATCTCGCAGTAAGAAGGCACCCGGTTGTTAATCGATCGGCGGATCGTTTTCCAGGGGTAATAATCCCTCCCCCAAAACAATTTGGTCACTCACTCCACAAATGTACGTGGGATACTGCTCTGCGCGTTTCACCCACAAAATACAGTCAATTCACTTTAGAGTATATTCTGCGACGCTCTTTGAGACAGCTCAATGAAGTGATAAGGCGCTATATCAAATGTTATGATTATTATTATTAATATCCACAATTGTGAAAGTCTCTTTGAGTTTTAAGTTAAACAAAATAGGCTGAGACTAGGTGCGATTTCGAGCAGCACTTACTCATTTAAACTCCTTGTACTTGCGTTCAAATCCCCCGCCCTTGTCAGCCTGTCCTGGCCCAGCCCAGCCTCTCCATCTGTTTGGTGAACACAAACCTGCTTCATGTCCCTCGCCTGATCCGTTCTACCATTAAAGGACGGGCTGTGAAAAGTTCAGTCTTGAAAGAAAAGAGAATAAGATTTTAAACGGGATTACTCATCAAATGGGCTGAAAGGTTTTATTCATCCAAACCAATCACATGATCTCATGAGAAAATAATCCTTGAATATTTTGAACTGATTCAACTTTCCCTCCCTCCCAAACTGGTTGGAAAAGTAAACACAGAACAATACTTTACAGTGCACCAAAACAGTAGAACAAGACGCCACAGGTTTAGAGTCGCAAAGGGCAATTTCTGGACAGACACCAGGAAGTATTTCTTTATTCGGAGGATAATTAATGACTGCAACGGTTGCTAGAAAATGTGGCTCAGGCCAGGACATTTAAGATGGGCTCTGATGCTGCTAGTAGCAATCTAGCCAGGATCTTGGAGCACAGTCTAGTCTGACGCTCCATTACAGTGCTGGGGGGAGCGTAGCATTGCCAAGGCACCATCCTTCAAATAAGTCATAACACCAATGCCTGATCCATGCCTAGCCAGGTCGGATGTTAAAGATCCCATGGCACTATTGGAAAATTCTTTTTTTTGTTCAATGTTTATTTCAATTTGCTTGAACAATTTTATACTTTTAGACTTCTTGCTTGCTTTCGGCTGCATTTGGGGTAAGGTACAGTCAGAGGCAGGCAATGGAGCGGAGGTAGAAGAAGGCGGTCCAGGTCAGGGACTGGATGTGGGGGTCGAACTGGATGCCTAGATTGCGCACTGCTTCAGTGAGTGTGAGGGAAACCCCAGAGAGGTTGAAGAGTTCAGATCCGCAGGAGTGAAGACGTTGACAGGAGCCAAGGAGTACGGCTTCCGTCTTATCCACATTCAGCTGCAGGAAGTTTGCACTAATCCAGGCCCTGTATAGATAAAGTGTCTGCGGTGCAAATTCTTCCTCTTACAGTCACGAAGATGGCTATTAAATAGCTGATACCAACGTGTGGGAGTGGTGTGGGATGGAAGCTGATTCTCAGAGTCATCATTGGAAACTGGTTTCAAAGGCAGCCCAAGTTGAAAAGATGTCATTGTCAGGTATGTGAAAAACAAGATTGGGCAGAAACAGACTCACACACGGGATATTACTTGTACAAACAGTTATCACAATAAGGACACCGCACACTGCTAATAAATAATGATTCCTGCATTAGATGCAGTGCCTTTCATGAAGGTAGGACTCTAGTGGAAAATCTGTCAATCAATTGACAATGGTTCCAAATTACTGCCAAGTGAACAGATGGGTGTGGAATAAGGAAGCCTGGTTTTGCCCTGCCTGGGAATTGAACCCAGGTCCTCCCTTTTTGCGAGGAGAGTGCTCTAACAACTGTACTACAGAACTCCTGCTATAAAGGTATCAAGGGATATAGGGAAAAGGTAGGTAAATGGAGTTGAGGTACAGAGCAGCCATGATCTAATATAATAGTGGGCCAGGCTGAATGGCCTCATCCTGTTCCTATGTTACTATGAACAAATAACAATGATTTGCATGTATATAGCGCTCTTCAGGGCAGTGTTTCGGAGCACTTAATAGTGGCAGAGCCAACCCCTGATCTGGCAAGAGGGATAGGGCTTAAGTGACTGTAGGAATGGTCAAAGAGAAAGCTCTTAAGACATAATCTGAAAATGGAGAAGGAGGGGGCAAGGTGGAGGGACTGAGGGAGAGAGGTCCAGGGTTTCGGGGAGCAGTGGCTGAAAGTACAGGCGTCGATGGTGGGACAAGGGACAAACACGAGGCTGGAGTCAGCCGAGCGGAGTAAATAGGTTGGAGAGCATGAAGGGAAGTCATTGAAACACAAATGAATGTTTAATGACTTGCCAGTGTTGGTCAGATCAAGAGTTCATTTTAAAGAGTTCATATCCTGTTTTTGTCAGATCACAGAAGGCTCTCTTAAACAATATCATAGAATCATAGAATTATACAGCAAAGAAAGAGGCCATTTGGCCCATCGTGTCTGTCCCGGCTCTTTGAAAAGAGCTATCTAATTCAATCCCACTCCCCCCCGCCCTCTCCCCATAGTCCTGCAAACTTGTCCTTTTAAAATAATTATCTACTTCTCTCTTAAAAGTCGTTATCGAATTGGCTTCCACCCCCTTTCAGGCAATGCATTCCAGATCCGAGCAACTCGCAGTGTGAAAACATTTCTCCTCACCTCCCCTCTGTTTCTTTCAACAACTATTTAGAACGTAAGAAATAGGAGCAGGAATAGGCCATTCAGCCCCTCAAGCCTGCCCTGCTATTTAATAAGACCATGACTGATCTGCTAAACTAATTGCATTTACCCACCCTATCCCTTAATCCCTTTAGTTTTTTTAAATTGGTGTCCTCGGGTTTCCGCCAGTGGAAATAATTTCTCCTTGTTCACCCTATCGAATCCCCTCATAATTTTGAAAACTTCTATTAAGTTTCCCCTTAACTTTCTCTGCTCCAAGGAGAATAATCCTCGCTTCTCTCGCCTCTCCTCATAACTGAAGTCCTCATTCCTGATACCATTCTGGTAAATCTCCTTTGCACCCTCTCCAATGCCTTGACATCCTTCCTAAAGTGTGGGGCCCAGAACTCAACACAGTCTCTCGCTGAGGCCTAACCAGTGTTTTATAAAGGATCATCATAACTTCCTAACTTTTGTATTCTATGCCCCTATTTATAAAGCCTAGTATCCCATATGATTTTTTACCAGCTTTATCTACCTGTCCTGCCACGTTCAAAGATTAACTTCTTTGAACCCCCAGGTTTCTCTTCACCCCCTTTAAGAGTCCTGTAGCTCAGTGGTTAGAGCACTCGCTTTGCAAGTGAGAGACCTGAGTTCAATTCCCAGCAGAGGGCGAAACCTTGGGCAAGTTTCCTTACTCCACACACCTAATAATAATCCCTCCAAAAAAAAACAATAATAAATTGGTCATTTTCAATCTACGACTGTTTGTGGGACATTGCTGTGCGCAATTGGCTGCCGCGTTCGCCCACAAATATACAGTCAATTCACTTTACAGTATGTTCTGTGAAGCGCTTTGGGACGTCCTCCCGACGTGAAAAGCGCTATATCAAATGCAAGGATTATTATTATATAAAGCCTTATCACATCATTGAGACGTCTCAAAGCACTTTACAGAATACACCATAAAGTGAATTGATTGTATACATTTTGTGGGTGCAACACAAATGCAAGGGTTATTATTAAGCTGTATCAATTTTCTCTACATTAAACCTCTTCTGCAATGTGTCTACCCATTTTACCAGTCTGTCTATGTCCTCTTGCAGTCTATTACTATCCTCCAAATACCAACATGTTGTAATATAACAGCTTAATAATCAGTGTAGTGACTGTGTATTTGTAGGTAACTCCAGCAGTTAATCGGCACACTGCAAGATCAAATAGCATTTTGAAGTGAATGACCAACTATAATATACACCTGATATTAAACACAGTATATAACATACACCTGATAATACTATTGATGATAATAATACTTGAATTTGATATAGCTGGGACGTCTCAAAGTTCTTCACAGAAGATAAAGTGAATTGACTGTATATTTTGTGGGTGAAAAGCGGCAGCCAATTGTGCACAGCAGTGTCCCACGAACATTTGTGGACTGAGTGATTTTTAATTTTTTTTTAACTGATTATTACTGCAAATCAATGCGCCATTCAACTAGCAGCCAGGTTCCTACTTACTGCCAGGTAAACAGATGTGTGTGGAGGAATGAAACATGCCAAAGATTTTGCCCTCCCTGGGAATCAAACCTGGTACCTCTTGCTTGTGAGGCGAGTGCTCTAACCAATACGCTACAAGACTCCGTTATAATGTACACCTGATATTACACCCAGCGTATAAAAAATACATCCCATATTACACTGTGTATAAGATACACCTGATATTACACCTTGTGTCTAACTTGGTTTTACTGACAACTTTTCCATTAATCTCTGGAGTTTCAGAACCCGAACGCATCCTTTCTCTCACATGGTGCGATGCATGCAATAAACCAAGACAATCACTGCAGGAGGAGGGAAAATAAAGAATACCAAAAGAAATGTCTGGAATGAGGTTTTGCATCTTTTATTTCACATCTCTTTAGAAGGGTTGCAGAGACAGGATTCAAGGGGTACCAAGCCCTCGTATCGAACAACAGCTCCGCGCACCCATTCATTTCAAACACAACGAGCAGCAGTTAAACAGTGAGGCTCTGGCCTCCAGATTATCCTCGTGGGAGGAGGGGGGGGGGAGGGGGTAGCATTGATCAGACGCAACTGCGTCTACGGTGAACTCCTCTTACATTGAACCTTCCACCCAGCGGACGTCATTAGAAGGTTGTGCTTCAGTGGTTTAACTTTGGTCATTAGTTACTTTAAAAAAAAACACACACACACGCACGCACACACATCAATTGACGTTCCACATTCTCAATATACTGCAGCAACACACGTAAAGGCCTTCGAATTTAGTTCACGAGGATATGCATGTTCTGTTGAAGGACTTCACCGGTGTATATAACTGCGAGTTCTTTTTAAATCTGTCCCACAGTCCGGGTGTAGGAACACAGCCAGTCCTCAGCGTCCAATCCCGCAGCCCAAAGGGCTTATTCTGCTACCCGTCCGCTGACAGTCAACGCTGTCTCTCCCCACGTGTGTCGTCTCCGCAGTGAGAAACTCCTCCGCCTCGGCGTCTCAGGAGCACCCACGGGTACTTATCCCACAGCCAAGCTCCCAGCAGGTTTTGCCCTGACTCCATTCCCACTGTCTCCCGCCTGCCCTCACAGCAGATACGGGTATTGCTGTAAGTAGTCCTGCACTCGCTTGGGCAAAGGAAGCTTGTCAATCTGGTCCGTTACCTTGTTAATCCTCAAGCGACACAGATGCTGAAGTGAAGGGAACGAGTCCTTCCTGTGCAGGGGCTTGATCAGTTTTAGATGAATGGCCGTCTCCTTGCAGGGCGGGGCCTCGATCACCTTATCGTACTTGTCGACAGCGCAAGAGGTCACGTAGTACTGGATCAGGCTCAGCACCTCGGTGAAGGCCAGGATCCTGGGCTTCGCCAAGTAGTAAGAATCCAGGGAAAATCTGCCATTGCTGTACTCGATTCGGACGTTGGTGGGGCCTCGGTTGGTCTTGACGGACAGTGTCAGCAGATAGCTGGGGTGCGAGCTGTCTCTGATCAGGAAGGTGCCTTCCGGCATCTTGTTAAGTTGCTGCTTGGCTTCGTTAGCTGTCAGTGGTCCCCAGTACCAGCCTGGAACAAGAGGAACAAACCTGATTAATATCAAGAACCATTAAGAAGGCGAGTCTTTGAGCTCATAGAGGCTAGGCTGTCTACTCCAGTGTAGTGTTGGGGGAGTACACTGCATTGTCAGAGGTGCCGGCCTTCGGTTCAGTCGTTAGCTTTTCACCCACAAAATATGCAGTCAATTCATGTTGCAGTATAACTTGTGAAGCGCTTTGAGACGTCTCAAAGATGTGATAAGGCGCTATAGCAAATGCAGGGATTGTTATTATTATTATTATTATTATTATTAAAATAAGGTCCTGTCTGTGCCTCTTCAGGTGACACAATTCGAAAAGAGAAGAGAGTTTCTCTCTTAGGGTGTCCTGGCCAACAACCACCCCCAAATAAGGCTCACCCTCCCCTTCCACCCGGGCTCAGCCTCTTCGATCGATCCCGGGAATTCGGGAGCACCGTTACCTTGCGAGATCCCGGTATCGGGATTCAGTCAAACGAGAATATTGGAGAGGCTTAGACAGTAAAAGCCACAACTGGCATTTATACAACGGCTTTCAGGATAACTCCAGAGGGTGGTGGGGGGGTGAGGGACGTGGGCGGGGGAGACAGGAGTGTGTGGCTGGGGAAGGTCATAGAGGTAGGCAGGGGCGCAAAGGGATTTGGAAATGAGGGTAAGGATCTTGAAGTCAATGGAGGCTGACGAGGACAGGGGGCGAGGGGTGGGGGAGATAATAACGATAATAATCCCTGCATTTGACATAGCGCCATATCACATGGATGAGACGTCTCAAAGCGCTTCACAGGATATACTGTAAAGTGGAGTAACTGTGTATTTTTATGGACGAAACGCGGCAGCCGATTGCGCACAGCGGGAGTCCCACAAACAGTCGACATGCAACGGAGATGTGGCGAAGAGCTGGGGGGGTGGGGGGGGGTTTCTCACCTGACTGGTCAAGCTGATGGAAGGTGGTGGTGATACAATGTAGGTCGGCATCGGGGTCTGTCCTGGCAGCTTTCTCCTTGCCCTGTTCAAATAGAAGCGCGGGAGAGGAAAGCTCCTCCTGCAAAGTCATGCGGATGCGCTGGAGCTGTGCCTGACTGGCTCGGCTGTCAGCAAGCATGAACAGGTCACCCCTTCCCGTGGCTAAGGGGATGCTCCCTGATCCTTGCTGTGCCAGTAAAGCTCTAAACACAGGAGGAAAAAAAAAAGAAACCATTAATCCCGGACGTCTCGCACAACTAAGCTCAAAGAATTCACAGAATGACTAACACTGATGTCAAAAAGAACGTTACAAAGCACAGTCACTGCACTTCAATGTCTATCCCGTGAAGCACTTTTAATAATAATAATAACCCTTGCATTTGATGCAGCGCCTTATCATTTCTTCGAGACGTCTCAAAGCGCTTCACGGAATACACTGTAGCGTTGATCTGACGGTGTATTTTGTGGGCGAAACGGGGCAGCCAATTGCACACAGCGATGTCCCACAAACAGTCGTGGTTTGAGTGAACAGTTTTTTTTCTCTTTCTGAGAACAAACTGGCAAACTGCTGGGTTTCGCCTACAAAGTACACAATCACTACGCCTTTACAGCGAATTCTGTGAAGTGCTTTGAGCGGACTTGACGACGTGCTAAGGCGATGTATTGAAAGCAAGGATTATTATGATTATTGTTGTTTTCGGTAAAACAAATGCTAGTTAACAATGACATCAGCACTTTGCTCACCCGAAACCCTTCTGCTAAAATACATTCAGCATCTCAAGATGACCAGAGGCTTTAGGGACCATTGAGGCCCATTTAATCTCTTCTCTCTGGAATCTCTGTGTGTCTGCTCTCCCTCCCTCGCACTCAACCTTCCTGCTATTGCGCCATTGAGCTGTTGAACATGAAAGAATTGCCGTGAGGAAGTTCTGAGTAATTCAGTAGAAGTGTGGGCGAGGTGATGCCTTGAGCCATTTAAAGAAAGGTATTCTTGTTTATTTTGTTCACTCATTCTCCGATACAATGCATTATTCTGAATCTGCTGCCCTTGACCTTATTCGCATGATACAGCTCATAAACTGCTTCACCTACTGAACAAATACCAACGATGTATAATTGGATAACATAAGAACCGATAAGGTAGAAGGTAGAATATCAGGGCTCTCAAGTCACCAGAGGTGGGTGCAGGATTATAGTAATGATAACAATCCTGGCATTTGGTAACGCCTTTCACATCAGAAACACACCCCAAGATCAGGTTTAAGATCCTCTTACTCACTTTTAAAGCCCTCCATGGTCTTGCTCCTCCCTCCACCTATTAAAACCTTACCAACCTGCCCACTCCCTGCACTCGGTGGGCACCAGCCGCCACCATCGGCAGTCAGGCCTTCAGCTTTTTTGCCCCTACATCTCAGAATCCCCCCACCTCGCCCCATCCCTTCAAGGCCCATCTCAAGACCTTCCACTTTTACTGCGCCTTTGGTCATTTCCCCACCCCCACTTGCTCTCCACCCCTCCTTTGACACCAACCCCCAGCTTGGATGCAAACCCTTGACCGCCCAGCGCCTTGGGATATTCTCTATATGGAGTAGCTCAGTGGTTAAATATTCGCCTTGCAAGCGAGACACCTGGGTTCAATTCCCGGCAGAGGGCGAAACCTTGGGCAAGTTTCCTTACTCCACACAGAGCCTAATAATAATCCCTCCAAAACAAAAAACAATAATAAATTGATCATTTTCGATCCACGACTGTTTGTGGGACACTGCTGTGCGCAATTGGCTGCCGCGTTCACCCACAAATATACAGTCGATTCACTTTACAGTCTCTTCTGTGAAGCGCTTTGAGACATCGAGAAGCACTATATCAAATGCAAGGAATATTTTTATTATTCCCCCCCCTCCCCCCGGCCAGATGGAAGGTGCTATACAATGCAAATTATTATTGTTGTTGCTGTGGCCCCGGCCCATTTTATGGATTTTTTTAAAGTCTAAAATAAATCGTGTTTCGCCCACAAAATATATAATTAATTCAGTACAGGCCAGAGTTTATTGTTTGAAGTCTCGAAGACGTAATAAGGCGCTATATCAAATGCGAGGATTATTATTAGAAATCTATTGATGTTTTGCATCCGCATCTCACGAGATCCTTTGGGTAAATCTTAATCCCCTGAGGTCATGTTCTCCAAGACAAGAGATATACAATACAATAATACACAACATCCAGCATCAGCTATCCAGGAACTGAGTCAGGTCATTAGTCATTGTATTTGTCTAGTTCCTTACACAGAATTGGATGACACATTAAACTGAGATGCCATCTGCCTTCTCAATTGGAAGCTAAAGATCCCACGCACTATCCGAGAAGAGAAGGGAGTGTTTCCTAGCTTCCTGGCCGACAATTCCCCAAATAACATTGATCGTTCCCTTGATGACCATTTGCAGGACATTGCTGTGTACAAATTATCGGTCACATTCACCTACAAAGTACACGGTCACTACAATTTACAGGAAAAAAAAACTCTGCCAAGCTCTTTCGAGATGTGGTGGTGTGATAAGGCACTGTGTCAACTGCAAGGACTGCTGCAGTTATTTAATAATGTAAGTCTTCACGGCTCACTGAAATCAGGGGGTTCACAAACCCACACAAAGGGTTAAATAGGGAAATCTGAATGGGACAGCACTGAATTCCTTAGAAGCCAAGGCTTCGGACACGTTATAGCCCTTTTTACCCTTCCCAAGTGAAAGCAAATACCCGTTCTGTGTAAAACTCCCAACATTTCTACCCCTGACACTCCACAGCCCAGATAGTGCAGCTTATGTTTCTGACAAATATTCCCATGTATCATTAGCCTGAGGGTCATGGTTTGGATCGAGATATTTTGTGTCCGACTCCCTCTTGGGATTTTGGGTGAGAGGTCGCAAGATTGCACCACTGGCAGCACGTGATGGAAGGTTGAGGCTGCCTTTAAACAAACTGAATCAGCGGGAAGCGGGTGACTGAGACAGGGGCCAAGACTCCTTCAATCAATCGATCGGTGTGGAAAGATACTTTATGACTCACGTCAGCTACTCTTACATGCCTGCCTGTCTGGCGGCAGGAAGGGATGTGAGCGAGATCAGGTATCTGTAATTTACATCATTTGTGACCATCTCAGTTCCAGTGTAGAGTCATGTTGAGAAAACTTTCCAGGACTTCCCCAACCCTCTCCCCTTCCCTACGCTGAATAATAACAATACTTCTCATGTCCACCCACACAACACACAGTCGCCCCACTTCACTACATATCCTGCGAAGCTCTTTGACATGAAAGGTGCCGTATCAAATGCAACAACAACAACAAATTGCATTCATAAAGCGGGGCGGCATCTCGGAGCGCTTAACAGTGGCGGAGCCTGACACAACATTGGGGGAAGGGCGGAGGTGACCTTCAGCACGGGTTGAAGCGGAAGGTTTTCATGCAAGAATTATTGTGATTATTATCTGATACAGAATATACAGTCAATTCACTTTACTGTATATTCCGTGAACTGCTTTGGGACGTTTCAACAGAATGATAAGGCGTTATCTCAAATGCTGGGAATAATATATCATGTCATCAAACATTTCTCAAAGGGAGCTTCTGGGGATTTTACTGTGGAGGTGTAGTGACTGTGTACTTTGCAGGCAAAACGGCAGCCAATTTTTGTGCGCAGCAAACTCCTACACAAACAGCCTTGAGGCAAATGACTAATTTCACTGGAAATTAGCTTTTCTTTCTGTTTCCACACACTAAGCTTGAGATCAGGTTGCTTTTGCCTATTAACATTGCCAGAAAGCAAGTTACTCCAATTAGCCTGGCACCCAAAGGAGCACAAAATAGTTTGAAAAGACTGTTTAGTTGATGTTTCCCCGGTTATTTTCTTGAAACCACTACAGAGTGGGAAGGCTGTCTTCAGCCCCACACCTTTTTTTTTATCAATTGCTAACGTTAAATCGCCAAGAGGACAAAAATATCAAACAACCCCTCCCCCCGAATTGCTGCAGAAATCGCCCGCTTAGCTATTATACAAGTCACTACACTTTACAAAGTGCTTTGAGACGTCCTCCCGAGGTGCTCGGCACCAAATGCAAGGATTTTTCTTCTTATTGAATGGGCTCTGCCCTTTTTTTTCCGCCAGAGAAAAGATAAGGGCTTAAGCATTGTATCCCATTTACATAACTGTGACCTACAAAAGCTCTCTGGATCTCTCCTCACTGTGATCAACTCTTAAAGCCTCGATCTGTTCCCCTTTGCACCTCTCTGTTCCCACCAGACACCATATAATAAAAATAATCCTTGCATTTGATACAGCGCCTTATCACATCTTCGAAACACCTCAAAGCACTTCACGGAATATACTGTATAGAATTAACTGTATAGATGCCGCAGTACAATCGTGTCTCACAAACAGTGTTGGATTGAGTGACCAAATTATTATTATTTATTTATCGAAAGGATTATTACACCCCCCCAGGAAAAGCCATCCGCTAACAACCGGGTTCCTACTTACTGCCGGGTATACAGGGGCGCGTGGAGTAAGGAAACCTGCCCAACATTTCGCTGTGCCCGGGAATCGAACCCGGGTCACCCTGTTGCGTTGCGTTACGTTGCGAGGCGAGCGGTCTAACCACTGAGCTGCACTCCTAAATCTATCTCTGCGTCCACACTCAAAGGTGCTTCCAACTTGCCAACAAGACTTATATCCGAAACACGCACACGCGCGCGCGCACACACACACACATACATAGCATAACATAACACGCGTGTTTCCAACAAGACAAGATACGCGTTTCCAAATAGCGAACAATAAAAGTAAAATAGAAAGTTTGGGGGTTTTACCCTTGAAGACAAAGTAACATGTCAAGAGTTCCAGCCCACGGTGAGAACGGAAAGATGTCTTGTCAGCAAAAAAAAAGGCAAGAGAGTAAAAATCACAGTTTTCTGGACAAGTCTCTGTGTCTCTGAGTGGTATCCTCTGTCTGTCTGTCTGTCTGTCTGTCTGGTCTCTGTGTGTGTGATGTCCTCTGTGTTTGAGACTCTTGGATTTGGTTCTGGTGTCGGTTTCGTCTGATCCCCAAAGTCTTGTCACAAGTTCTTTCCTTTGAATGATTGTTATCTCTCTCCACCCACTGCACAGGAAAAGAAATCCTCTTTCTAACCCCCACCCCCACCCCACACCCTCCACCCCCACCCCACACCCTCCACCCCCACCCCACACCCCCACCCCCAACCCACACCCTCCACAATAAAACACAGGGATACGTTTTTCTCTCTCTCTTTCTCTGAAACCACTCACTCTCACACCAGAGACTGAGCAAATGTCATCAGGTTCTCTCCCTCTCTCCTCTCTCTCTTTCTCTCTCTCCTCTCTCTCCTCTCTCTCTTTCTCTCTCTCCTCTCTCTTTTTTTAAAAAATATGTTTTCTTGGAAGAGCAAAATGGGAAATGTCCATTCACACTCACACACTCACTCACACTCACTGACACACTCACACACACACAGACACTGACACTCACACACACACACACAGACACTGACACACTCACTCACACTCACTGACACACTCACACACACAGACACTGAAACTCACACACACACACAGACACACACACACAGACACTGACACACTCACTCACACTCACTGACACTCACACACACAGACACTGACACACACACACACACAGACACTGACACACTCACTCACACTCACTGACACACTCACACACAGACACTGACACACTCACACACACACAGACACTGACAGATAGACAGAGACAGACAGACACACCAACACACACACACACACACACACACACAGGTAACTGTCGAAAAAGACAAGTGAGTGATCAGAGAAAGAGACAAAAAGCAAATACAGAAACCACTGCTCTCTGTCTGTCTCTGTGTCTCCCTCTGTCTCTGTCTGTCTCTGTGTCTCTCTCTGTCTATGTGTCTCCCTCTCCCTCTGTCTGTCTGTCTCTCTCTATCGATCTCTCATCTCTGTCTGTCTCTCTGTGTGTCTCACACTCTGTCTCTAACTCGGGTGGATTTGCTGACAGTATTTATTCAAAGACACGACGTGTATTCCTAGAATCGCTTTGCGGACAACAGAGACTGAAACAGCACATCATTTGAATACGCCTCTCCTCCCCCTCTCCTCCTCTCCTCCTCTCCTCCCCTCTCCCCCTCTCCTCCTCTCCTCCTCTCCTCCTCTCCCCCTCTCCTCCTCTCCTCCTCTCCTCCTCTCCCTCTCCCCTCCTCCTCCTCTCCCTCTCCCCCTCTCCTCCTCCCTCCTCCCTCTCTCTCCTCCCTCTCCCTCCTCTCCCTCTCTCCCCCCCTCTCCCTCCCTCCTCTCCTCCTCCCCTCTCCTCTCCTCTCTCCTCCCCCTCTCCTCTCCTCCCCTCTCCTCCTCTCTCCTCCCTCCTCCCTCTCCCTCTCCCCTCTCCTCTCCTCCCTCTCCTCTCCCTCTCTCTCCTCCCCTCTCCTCCCTCCCCCCTCTCCTCCTCTCCTCCTCCCTCTCCCTCTCCTCCCCTCTCCTCCCCTCCTCCCTCTCCCCTCTCTCCCTCCTCTCCCCCTCCCTCCCTCCTCTGTCCCCCCTCTCCCTCTCTCCCCCTCTCCTCTCCTCCTCTCTCCTCCCCCTCTCCCCCCTCCTCCTCCCCTCTCCTCCCCTCTCCTCCTCCTCCTCCCCCTCTCCTTCTCCCCCTCTCCTCCTCCCCCTCTCCTCCTCCTCCTCCCCCTCTCCCCCTCTCCCTCTCCCCCTCTCACACTCCCTCTCCTCCCCTCACACTCCCCCTCTCTCTCTCCCCCCCTCTCCCTCTCTCTCTCCCTCTCCTCCCTCCCCTCCCCCTCCCCTCTCTCCTCCCCCTCTCCTCCTCCCCTCTCCCTCCTCCCCCTCTCCTCCCTCCCTCTCCTCCCCCCCCTCTCCCCCTCTCCCTCCCTCCCTCTCTCCCCCTCCTCTCTCCCCCTCCCCCTCTCCTCCTCTCCCCCTCCTCCCCTCCCCTCTCCTCCCTCTCCTCCCTCTCCCTCTCCTCTCTCCCTCCTCCCCTCTCCTCTCCCTCCTCTCCTCCCCCTCTCCTCTCTCTCCTCCCTCCTCTCCTCTCTCCCTCCCTCCCCCTCTCCCCCTCTCCTCCCCCTCCTCCTCTCCTCCCCTCTCCTCTCTCCCTCTCCTCTCCCTCCCTCCTCCCCCTCTCTCTCCTCCCCTCTCCCCTCTCCCTCCTCTCCTCCCCCTCTCCTCCTCCCCTCTCCCCTCTCCTCCTCCCCCTCTCCTCTCTCCTCCCCCTCTCCCCCTCTCTCCTCTCCTCCCCTCTCTCCTCCTCTCCCTCTCCCTCTCTCCTCCCCCTCCCTCTCCCTCTCCCCCTCTCCTCTCCCCCTCTCTCCCCTCTCCTCCCCTCTCCTCCTCCCTCCCCCTCCCCTCTCCTCTCCCTCTCCTCTCCCTTCCTCTCCCCCTCTCCTCTCCCTCTCCCTCTCCTCTCCTCTCCCTCTCCCTCTCTCCCCCTCTCCCTCTCCTCCCCCTCTCCTCCTCTCCCCTCTCCTCCCCCTCTCCTCTCCTCCCTCCATATACACACACACACACATACATATACACACATATACACACACACACACATACATATACACACATATACACACACATATACACATACACACACATACATACACACATATACACACACACATATACACACACATACAGATATACACACACACATATACACACACACCCATCTCAAATTCGCTGGAAAAACCATGAACTCGATCAGATCCGACCAGAACGCTGTTTGCTCACACAATTGCGGTGGCATTCGCCTCCTCCCCCACATTTTTTTTAAAAAAGCAAAGCTTGACATAGTTCCAGTGATCTGCTTTGCTGTGTGTGATGTGTGTGCATCTATTATTGCCTGTTTTTATTTTAACCTATTTATCCGAACCTCTCCCCAAACCAATTCCACACACACACACACACACACACACTCAGGGCACCACACGCTCTGATCTCTTCTGGCTTCCAGTCAAAAATGTGTCAAGAATTTACATTTCCAGGAATTTTCCAAGAATAACCAACCCACGTGTGTCATCGGTAAAGGGACCAATGGACTCATCCCTTCCCTCCGCAGAAACAAACAGACAAACAGCACAGAATGTTTGTACTCGAATTTGAGGTCGTGCGGATCCAAAAGGCGTTTACTTTTTTGATTTCCTCGCTCGCCTCCTCCTGACCTGCACCCACGACTCTCTTAACATTACAGTAGTTGCATACGCATACTAATAAGCCAGTATTAAACGCGCTCTGGGACGCTACAGTGCGTGAGGGGTGCTGTATAATTGCGAGCTGTTGCTGTTGTCGTTGTGGTGGTGGTGGTGGTGGTTGTCGTCGTCGTCGTCGCAATAAACCAGTTTCGACATCGCACCTGGTCACGGCATTGAGACTTCTCAAAGTGTTTAACGTGACTTCACTGGTCGTCGAGAGGGTTTTGCTGGTGGCTGTGGCAGACAATTTGCGCACAGCAGCAACGTTCCCCAAACAGCCGTGGAGTGAGCGACTGATTTTATTTGGGGGCATTTTGGGGTCAGGAACCCGGGCAAGAGAAACTCCCTTCCCTTTTCATGTTCGGGCCACGGGATCTTTAACGTCCTCCTGAACAGGCACAGGCGGGGCCTCGGTTTTAACATCTTATCCGAAGGACGGCAGCTTTGCCATTTTGTTTTATTGGGAGTGGGGTCAAAAACGATTTAAATTCTAGGGCAACCCTTCCATGGAGGACAGTCTTGAGGGAGGGGAGGGGAGGTAAAGTGAGTGCTGAGCTGGTTCCTGGCACTGGATTGTTGGAATCGAGCCAGTCCTCTGTGCCGGTCTCGCTCGTCCGGTTCCTGAACCAGGCGGGTCCACAGTACTCCAGAGACACGGCTGACGACAGACAAGCCCAGCCTGGCTCATCGGTAGGACCTGGAGAGACACACCAGTCACTGGGGGATAGGGATTCTTCTGACTCAGCTCCTGTTAACCCTACAAGCCGAAGCCCTAAATGGGTAAAGCAATGGGATGCTTGCCACTGTCTGGCGATCTACCTAAGTGTGCAGTACCAGCGCCTATTATACTCCAGAATTAGATAGGCAGGTGCACTCCTCCAACGACAACAAATCACATTTGTAAAGCGCCTTTCACATCGGAAGGGTGTCCCGAGGTGCTGGAAGGACGCTCTCTCCAAGGAGAGAGTGGGCATTCCCTTCCAGACACAGGGAATTTCCTGTGCGTAGATGGTAATATATGTGGAACTCCCGGTCTGGTTTCCAGTCTCAATCCTAAACCGCGAATGCTGGAATTTACCTACAAGTGCTCCTTGGCTCTGGGTCAGAAGGTTATGGGTTTCAGCCCCAACACAAAGGAGACTGCTCACCATACAGTGCTAACAGTGGAGTCCTGTAGTTCAGTGGTTAGAGCACTCGCCTCGCAAGTGAGAGACCTGAGTTCAGTTCCCAGCAGGATGAAATGTTGAAAAGGTTTCGCCCCGCCCGGGAATCGAACCCGGTCCTCTGGCTTGCGAGGATCTAACCATTGCGCCACTGGACTCCATGTTTACAAATCCCGCTCCACTAATTTGAAGAAGTGAGAGTTCTCCCAGTGTCTGGGTAGATTCCGCTTTCGTTTCAAATTCATCCACCCCCCCAAAAAAATTCCCCAGTTGAATCAGTCATTTTTTTTGGTTCATGGGACTCGGTCAGACCCAAGCTGCGCAAGGCTTGAAAAAGTGACATCTCATCTTTTTAACGGGAGATCACACTGTGCGGTTAGCGACTTCAGGAAGGAGTGGGAGTCAAGTGAAAGGAGATCACAAACAAATCTATCCAAGTTGCTTTTGAAATCATCAACGCTTTCAGCTTCCACCGTCTCCCCAGAGAGCCTGTTCCATACGTTTACTACTCGCTCACTGAAATAATATTTCCACAGATTTGTTTGGAAATCTCCCCCCCCCCCTCCACCGCCCACCGTGCCCCCTTCAATCGCAGGCCTTGTCCTCTGGTTCTACTGTTCTGGCCAAGATTAAACTGGTAAAGAAA